GTAAATGACATCAATTTCATGTCTCAGTCTCTCAGTTTCTAGTTCTCTGCCTGCCTCAAATCTGAGTTGATTTGAATTTCCATCTGCTTGGCTTGGAACTGGACTTTCACTCTTTCCTCTTCCACCTTCCTCCTGAGCTCCTCCAGTTTCCTGCATGATTCCTGTTCAGCAAGATGTCTTGTGATCTTTGACTTGGATGATCTTGCTGAGGAGCTGCGTGAGGTCCCGCTGTACATGGAAGGAGGTCGTCCTGTATCGGGCACATCAGCATCCGCAGGTTGCCTGGGCAGAGGAAACACTTGGTTGATGATGAAAACTTGAAGGCTGTATGACATGGTGGTCATGGGCCTCGGGAACATGTCGCGGATAACGCCCTTGGGCTTCTGGAACATGTGGCGGATAATGCTCTTGGGCTTCTGGTACATGTGGATAATGTCCCTGGGGATATGGCGGATAACGCCCCCGACGAACATTTAGGGTTTCTTCAGCTTGGGTTTCAGTTGTGACAGACATGTTGAACCTGACAGTTCTTAGTTAGCTGGATGTCATCCGGCTCGAAGGACCAGTTTTCTGTAGACTATTTTCCAAGTTTAGCTGGCAATCTGGTTTATTGCATGCTCAGCAAGAACTTGGTACACTGAGTTGATGACTTGGACATGCATTTAAGAAGAAATTCAAGAAAAAAACCCTCCCGGTAAGTAGTTGCTGTCCCTCCCTTGAATATATGTGAGCTTCAAGTAAAGAGAAAACAAAGATAATTAACAGGCACGTTTAGTAAAGATCTTTTTATCGTTACACTCTCCTAATGACTTCAATCTAAATAGAATGAAAAGGCACGCCGGGAGATGTGTTGGTATTCCCGCAATAATTTGTGCGTAATAACCCATAGTAAATTTTAGATAAATAACCCAAATAAACGACTCCACTATTTGCTTGAAAATGCACTTGACTGAATAAAGATTTCAAATGATAACTCACCCAACTGAATACTTCTGAACCCCCTAGGATGTATGATGATTGCTGATTTGAAACCCTGTTCCGAATTCCATTAAATTGTATAAACCGAGGCGCTAAGTGTGGCCTTTTGATGAAGCGCGCCCTCACGAGACGGCCGTGAAATCGCTGCACTGCTGCAAAAGACTTCCAGCTGGAGATTCTACTACTAAAACCCTGATGTTATACTCCTACCATACTCCCACCCATGGGACCCGTGTAAGTGACAAAAGTAACAGTCTGCTTGACAGCGGAGGTTCAAACTTGAACTGTATGTATGATAAAGGAACAAAAGGGCACACTGGGCACGTAAAAAAAACTTTGCCGGAGTTGGAAAGCCAAACAAGAGATATTACGATCATCTGAACCAGCTACAACTTGTGCCCTCACCATACATAGAGTGCCCTTTGTCTTTTTAGGCGGTGTTTTTACTAATTGCTTTATAAAAAAAATTTACGGCCAACTATAATCACCTCCCATTATATCTTACCTCTGTTCATGTTGAACAGCCTGATTTAGTCACCTTAAACACTGGGGCTTCCCCTTAGCCAGTAAAAATAACTTTACTAGAGCCGGGGTCTCGCCAATTCTCATGGGAATATGTACAAACATCTTCCATATGGCAGTCATCAAGAGGACTGTTCTAGCCTTTGATCAAGGCGCCCGCAGCGAAATGGATAATCAAGACCACAAGATGAACTGCATGCATGCGTATGCAGTAGCCGAGCCCTGATCCAGCTGATCCCACGTGGCATCGAGGAAGCGCTGTAACCTCGGGGAGAAGGTTTTGTGAACAGTTCACTGATTACGCACACTGGAGCAAAACGGCAGCCAGTATTACGTGTACTTACACGCTGTCTATATGTCTTGTTGTCTTATCTCACGTAGTATCAGCTGAAACGATGAAAATGGGGAAATGGGAGGTTTTGGATGAGCGATATGCAGCGGTAACGAAAGAAGGTGACGCGGAAAAGCATGGGAATTGGCAAGTATCTACCAGTTTTCTACCAACTCTCAGCAAGAAAGCACATGGGCTTAATTGGGAACCAGCGTAATGTTGGTTACGTGTCTGGCGTCCGGGCCAACAGCGTGTGCATGGTACGTGTACAATGTCATGTACATGTACGTACACATGACATGTACGTCTTCACGATGTCACAAACTTGTTTTTCGCGCGCTTCAAGACTTGCACCGGATGTAGTTACGTCAAATTCTGAGATCTGATCAGGATCTGATCCTGCGTTGCGTTTAC